GTCACAGGGTTGAGGTGAATGAACAAAGCTAGTCAGTAATTCCCAGGATAGGAAACAATTAGAAAGCAGTTGCTAATGTTACCCGTTGACTTTGTCAGGTCTTGTCCTCAGCCCAAGCCAGGGTCCCACAAGGGGCAAGGCAGCTGTGGAGAAGAGCTGTATGTCTATGTCTGTATGTGTGTGTCTGTATGTCTGGGTTTCAATCCAGTCCTGCCCACTTCTTGCAGCAAGAACTTGGCAAATAACATGAACTGTCCTGGCAGGAGTAAAAACAGTCTAAAGAGAGATACCTGTGTCCCACCCGTTGTCATCACTGAAGCAATGTTCTGAAAGGAATCTCATGACTAAGGAAGGGAAAGGCTGAAGCCAGAGGAAGGATTTTTTTCAGGGAAGATTTCACTGAGTTCCAGCAATTTACCAGACCCTCTTTCAGGAGAAACCAAAGCCACGGCAATGATGGATCAATGATAGATCAGGCTACACCTTGACCCAAATTGCTTAGTTACGGCACACCTCTCACTTTCTATTTACACCTAAACCTCATGTCAAGACCTCAGTGACTGGCTTGAGGCTCACTGGATATCATTATTTGTTCCTTTCCCCGATGTGGCCATATTGATACATCTCCCTCTCTGCTTTTTCTTTCTTTCTTTTTTTTTTTTTTTTTTTTTAACAGATCTTGCCTCAGGTTTATTTGTAAAAACAGCATAGAACACTGGTCATCTGTATAGTGTGTAGGTTGGTGTGTCACACCAGTCTGTCTGTCTTCACATTACTAGAACCATTTCCTATGGGGCCTTCACAGGGGCCTGGGCACCTTTGGGAGCCTGAACTGGACCTGGAGCTGGAGCTGGAGCTGGAGCCTTGCCCTTAGCTGGAGCTGTGGCCTCTGCCTTGGTTTGAACCTTGGGCTTTGATTTGCAGAGCCTACGATCCTTAGCCATGTAGCTTCGAATCTGCTTCTCAAGCTTGGGGTGAGCGATGAAAGCCAGGTAGCTGAGTTTGTGGCTGGGGGACTTTGGCATCTTGGGTTTAACAGCTGCAGGCTTCACAGGCTTGATGGCCTCTGCTCGCACACTCATTGCCTTTGCATTGTTTGCTTGCATCTTCTTCAGGCCTTTCTTGTTGTGCTTCTTGGCAAAGTACATGTTCCTCAAGAATTTGGGGTCTACCCCCTTAATAGATTCGTATCTTTGTGACCAGGGTTTCTTGATGCCATTTCTGTGCCATTTGCAGGACTGGTTGTATGTGATGTAGTTCTTGGACTTGGCCATGTTTGCGCAGTAACCCAGGGCTCCCGCAGCATCTGGGACCAGAAGAGCCTCTCTCTGCTTTTAATCATCACTTGCCTCTTCTGTCTTGAGTTGTGCTGTATCTTGAGAATGGGTGGCTAAGCCTAGCTGGTTAGGGCTGCCAGGGACTAGGCTCTGACCCTAACGACTTCAGTAACAACCTGACTCCAGCTTGATTTTTGTCATCTGTAAAGAGGAACTAAATAAAAATATTAAAAAAAAAAAAAAGAGGAACTAAACAGGTCAATGAATGACCCAAACATCTGGTTCCATCAAGGGCAAAGTAAATCCTCATTTGCATAAGCTCCTTCCTTCCTCTCCTTCACTAACCTGGCCTTGTAACACCCTCCTCCTATAGAGCCAGTGATTGGTACTGTGGTTTCCAACACCAGGACAAGGTAAGAGAGGTGGTGAGCAAGCATGTCTGCCATAGCTCTGTACCTCCTCTAGGGAAGTACCCTCAGCAAGAAGGGCTATTCTGGCTACATGCTGCTATCACAAAATGCCGCCAGCAGGGTTATCTCTGAGGCTGGACGTCTAAGAGAAAAGGTTTTGCAGTGAAAGAGAACTTTGAGGATTAGGGCCAAAGGATGCCACAAAAAATCACACCACACAACAGACATCACAGAAGAAATTTATTGGGGAACGGAAAGGGGAGATGCAAAAGGCCACCTCTGAACAGGGAAGGAAAGGAGAGAGAGAGAGAGAGAGAGATGGCAGGCCGTGATGGTGTGGGCTTTATTGGGCATATGGAACATGTGCATAGGGGAAGTGCAAGACAGTGGTGATGATGATGGAAATGTGTCTTTACTGATGACAGGGCGTTGGTGCTGAGTCATTGAAGGTGGGGAGGAACCTGATTCTGGACTAGTGGTGGTTCTTATTTGACTAACCCTGAGATCAAGGATATTGGTGGATCTGGTAGAGGCTGTTCTCTGCTTCCAAGATGGTGCCCCTCACTGTCTTCTCATGTAGAGGAAAATAAAAGGATGAGAGGAGTCTGCCTAGTTCCCTTCTTCCCAGTATGAGGTTGTGAACCCCATTTGTGATGGATCAACCCTCATGACTTAATCACCCCAGAAAGGCCTCACCGCATTGTAGATTCAGCCCCAACACATAGATTTGCAGAACTGAGTCAGAGCCCCATTAGCACTTTTCATCTGAGTGTCCCACCATAGTCTCAGTGCCTGAGAGATGGAGTCTTACAACCTACTTCCCCTACACTTTTGCCCCTGAGACTCCCAAGGAAGGGGACAAGTGTCCTTTCCCCAGATGTTGCGGTCACTGTGGGTGTACTGAATTCTGTGAAACAGAATAATCCAAGTGACTCACGATGTCCTTTGGGGAATGACGACAAGCTCATAGTCACCAGAGGGTGGCAAGGACACCCCAGACAGCTCCAGGAGTGCCCTGGCTAGGGTAGAGAGCCTCAGGGCACCCATGTTCTCAGCAAACAAACATCCGCTGTGGCCTTCTGTCTATCTTCCTCTCCGTGCATTCTGGGGATGCAAGCAAAACAGGAACGCCCGCCCTCACAAGGCTTAACCCGGGGGGTATGTTCTATGGATGCATAATGATGAGAACTGGGAGGCATTCTTTCAGAATAAGAGCTAGGGAGATTCTCTCTAAGGAAGGAGCTGTAGGCAGAGCTGATGAAAGTGAGAAAGGAGGATGGGCAGGAAGACAGATAATGGCATGTGCAAAGACCCTGGGCATGACATTAGGAACAACCATCGGTGAGCTAGATCTGGAGCAGAAGAGAAAGAAAATGCCCCCAGAGAAGTAAAAGGGGCCAGAGGTCAGCTAGGGGTGAGACTTTGGCTTCACTTAGACATGAGGGTGGATTTTGAATAGAACAGTGGCAAGCTGCCCTTTGCTTAACCGTCGTGATGACTTCCCTCCTGGGGATAATTCAGAGCACTAGGAGAGACTCGGGTAACTCAGAGGAAAAGCTGTTCAGTAATCCAGGAAGAGCGTAATGGTGGCTTGAGCTGAAACAGCAGCCAGCAGAGTGGTGCCAAGTATCAAATGCAGGCTGGATCTCAAGGTGGGGTCAGCATGACTCCTGAGGAATCAGATGTGAGTGGAAATGGCTGGAAGAGGCCTCCTGGCTGTAGGTGTCTCGGGTGGCCTAAGCCTTCAGAGAGATGGGGCCCCTTGGCAGCAGCAAGCTGCAAGGGTCTACCTCTATTAGACAGCTCAGATGTAGAGTCAGCCCACACATAGGGATGTGGACTGTAAGACTCATTCCATTTCATCACAAAACAACATGAGGGTGGACATCGCCACATTTCAAATAAGGAAACTTAACACTCAGTGGTTTGAAATTCTGCCTTAAGTGGCTCATCTTCTGTGTTGGCACGGACTCTCTGACAGCTGAACCCCTGATTCTCCACCTTCTTCTACATGGCTCACAGACTCTCTGTGGACAAGCACAAGGCACATTTCTCAGAAGAAGGTACCCTTCACCACCCACAGTGCTTTGAAGGGGATGTTTCAATTATTATAACAACCCTACAAAACCACTAATGTCCTTGTTTTACCACCACAGAGGCATGGTGACACTGAATGTATGTGTTCCCAGGCTCTTAAGTACTGTAAGCTCTAAAACCATGGTTTCAATCAGAGAGTAAATGGCAAAACCCCTGACATTGCTTCTTGAGACGTGCCACTCACGGACGCTGTCACCTTGTCTTTGATCAGTAGTCATTTGTGGTCTGAAGAAATCAGGCATCAAAGCTGTAAACCAAGAAGTCTTTGAGGGTCAAGGAGACAGGCTCCCATAGATCCAAAGGTTGGTTTAAACTACCCATGAAGTCAAGGATGACCTTGAACTTACAGCCCTCCTGCTTCTTCTCCTGGGATTACAGGTGTGTGCCTAACAGCCAGAAAGCCCCCTCCTGTCCCTGATCCCACGCCCAGTGCTGGGGTCACAGGCAGGATTAGTGTGCAGCCAAACCTGGCTTTTTACATGGGTATTAAAGATTCGAACATAGCTCCTAATGTTTGCTCAGGAGCCACACACCCCGCCCCCAGCTGAGAGCTTTTTATTGAACAAACCTTTACTGAAAGCCAAGCACCATGCCAGGAGTTACAGAGGCAGGAGAATCCCTGGGAAGCCCAGAATCTCACTGAGTTCTAATCAAGACACAAGCAGCAGTGACTCTGTCCAGCATCTGCCTTCTAGCCTTTCTTTTTTGTGCAAGGCTGTACCAATTAATGAGGTAGATCTTGTATGTATTGGGGGTAGGAGGCAACACATTTATCCTTGATACTGTGCTTTATATTTTTCTTACATACAAACTGAGGCTTTACATTTGTCTCATGTATCATGGGAAGGGGAAGAATGTGATGAATGGCAAAATAAACCCAGGAGAATATTCATCAAGGGTTATATTTTCCTTTCTTAATGGTCAAATTTTAAATGCCTACTTTGAAAAGAGAAAAAACACAGAGCAATAAAGATTGATATTTTTTTTCCTCATCTTGACTGCCATGAGGAACTGACTTCTGCTTTCTTTGAGACTAGCTCAAGTATCATGTGACTCTACCTGCCTCTTGCGGCCATAGCAGCCACGGTGGGGTTTTATCCAGAACTACTGGCATATGAGTGCTAGGTGCAGTGGAGAATCTTGCAACGTGGCTTTACAGCCAACTAGCTAGTTTATTGACTGCTTACTGGCTGTTTTTGTTTCTCCCTTTCCACAGAAAAGCCTGGACTCCTACTGCTTCCTCGTCTTTGCCGCAATATGTATTGCAGCCGCTATCTACTTTTATTTTGTGCTCCCCGAGACCAAGAACAGAACCCATGCAGAAATCAGCCAGGCATTCGCCAAGAGGAACAAGGCTCAACCCCGAGAGGTGAAGGCTGACTCAGCCATGTCAGAGGAGAAGGCTAATGGCCAGCCTGAGCCAGATCCATCCTCCACACTGGACAGCTGTGGCCAAAACAGAATTGTCTGAATGTGTTTTCTCACTAGGGTAACTTTCCAAAAACTTAGAAGGTTTGACTGAAGCCATGTGAGACTCTTATACTGGGGTATTAGGAAGAAGCCTGTGGCAGTCGGACCTCACAGCTGTCTTTCCAAACTTCCTAGGTTTGGTACACTCAGCATTCTATACAGCCTTCTTCATGACTAAACCCATAGTTTTGAAATAAAGTTGGGGAAAAGGGATGAGGATGCTTTCCCAAAGGGAAACCATCTGGTCTGATGGATACTCATTGTACCATGAATGGCAGCCGGGGGTTTGTATCAGCTGTGTTGTTGCTAAGCAACGCTGACCTGCCCTCTGTCTCCAGCCTCCAGGCACAGGGACCTTGGTCCTGCATGGAGGCTTTCAGACTTCATAGGAATATTATTTGTCCCACTAACAAAGATAAGATTTGCTTATCTTTGGCTCTGCTTAGGAACAACCTCATACCATGCTGCTGATCCTACCAAGGAAGGCTTCCATCCCCAGCATTCAAGGCTGCCAGGTCTGAGGCTATCCTTAGTTCAGACTGTTACAAAGAGCACACAGAAGATCAATCAATGAATAATATGCTAAAGAACTTTCTGGTAACTGCAAGTTGAGCTCTGGACATTGAGAATGACTCTGAGACTAAACTTAGGTTTGATGGGAAAGAACACTGGGATTGATTGCTGATGCCTGCCGTGGATGCAGGAATGACAGCCCCAGTTCCTGGGACTTTTGCTTGTAATGTGAAGGATATTCCTCTTCAGAGGTAACAGACTGCCTGGAAAGACACTCATCATCATTCCTGGTTCTCAGGTGAAGGCTGGGGAATCATCTGCCTCCACAGTTGTTTAGGAAGTAGAGTAGGGTGTCTGGTCGAAGTAACTTGCATCTTGCAATCATCATCTGTGCTTCATCATTTGGTCAAATCCCTCCTTCTGCCTCCAAAACAAAGCACTGATGGCAAACATCACTGATAAGCAAATGGCAGGCACTTAAACTGGCATGTTTAAGTTTAGGATGCCTTAGAGGGTGTGGTACCAGACAGGGGCTTCTCCAGATGAGGCAACACTGGTGTTTTCTGACCATTCTGGATGAGGGTGGCCTTAACCAAAACCCGTGTTCTGATTCTTCTCTCCCTGTCGAACACTCTTCATCTGGGCCTCTCCTTGGGTGTGTTCCCATCTCATGGAACCATGCTTTCCAGCATTGGTTTAAACGTTGTGTGTAAGTATAAAGAGAAAGTAACATATAGATTTGACAAGCGCCTGTCACAAAAGGAGCCAAGTGATTGAAAAACAGAAATCCTAGCACTTGAAAGCTGGTGTTCCCTGGGAGATTTTAAATATTCTGTCAATGAATATTTATTAGTCAATAAATACTCTGCCTTGGCTGAGTACTGAAGATATATCTATGCGCAAGGAAACACACTGCCCTGACCTACACACCCTCATGGTCCGGCCAAGAGCTGGAAAATCAATGTGCCAATGGTGAGCTAGAGTGCCATCAGTATGAGGGGTGGGGAGCAACATGGTGTGGGGGCATGTAACAGGAATAGTTGGGGTCTTAGCTGAGAAAGAGAAATGCCTTCCCAGACAAGGGACAGAGCAGAGCCAGGGCCAGTGTGACCATGAGACCAGAGGCCAGCAATTAATTATTTTTTGTGCATTCTTATATTTGAAATTATAATGAAGCCATGGGAGGAATATTTTGAAGCATAAATCTCATAATAAAACTGATCATCTCACATGCTTCATTGTTTTACTTTTTGCTCAGCCCTACCTATTTTCTGCCTGCTGTTAATCCACTTGCAAACACAGAATATGATTACAATCATCTTTCTCTTATCTCCTATCCTCCCCACCCTCCACTTGATATTAAATCAAATACATCATCTCAACCCTGAAAACTTTTGCTCACACGCTGGTGCACATTGTAGAGAATTCTTCACATAAGAAGCTCTTTCTCAGATACTAGGAGACAATGGAGACCCAAGATTCAGAGTCAAGTGTAACCTGCAGGCCAAAATTTTGCTGGGTGACTGTAGCCATTTGTGTTCTGCATTCTTGCATGGTCACCAAGAGAGGCTTGGCTGTCAGCCTCGCTCTCTGATTCCTTCCCAAGATCTAGGCATGAGGTCCTTATTATCCATTTTATCTATTCCCTTATCTCCAAATCAAAATGCATGCAGACCCCAGGACAGGCCCAGTCCAGCTCCCAGGCACACACACAGAGTGGACTTAAGAACAGCACAGAGACTTCCAAATGACACTGAAATGGGAGTCACCACCCGTAACACCTGGGTAAGGACTCTTGATGTGAATTTAACAAGACTGACTTCCTGCTTTCAAATAGAAGCACACATAAGGCTTTTAATGAGTTCATGTATAATCTTTAAAACACACAGGATAAAATTAAATGTGTGTGTGTGTGTGTGTGTGTGTGTGTGTGTGTGTGTGTGTGTGTAAGAGATAAAAACTGGCCAAATAGGACAGAGTCTAGAAAACATCAACTCTGACAATCTCCTTGCTTTATAGATGTGAAAACCTGAATTCAGATTCCAGCACCATGCAAAAAGGAGGGTGTGGCTACGTGCTTGTCTAACCCAAAACCCCAAGCCAGGACAGGAGGATTGCTTGAGCTTGCAGGCTAACAGTGCAGCTCCAGATTCTGTGAGAGACCCCGCCTCAAAGGAATAGAGTGAAGAGTGGCAAGACATCCAGCAGCCTCCTCTGGACCCCACACTCACAGGCACACCCATGTGCACATAGATTACACGCAGAAATACAAACAATGCTTACACAAGTACACGGAAAAAGAAGAGAGAAGAAAAAGAAATGGTGCCTAGCCAGCTATTCACTGGCTAATTCCAGAATATGATGCAATTGCCCAGCAAACAGGTGGAGAAAGACAAAGTTAACAATTGGCTGGCCTCTGCATCTGGCAGCTGGATTTAGTGGCTTCAGTTAAAGCACTGGCTGACACACCATAGTCCTACAAAGATGAGGGAGTTGCAAGTCCCAAGTGTAACAGTGACCACTTGCTTGCCTTGATGGTGGAGGAAGGGTCCCCAGCAGGGACTACAGGCAATCTTTCATGGTCAAAAAAATGCAGGGACTGAATTAGTCCCTAGACATGCTAAGAGGAGCATAGCCCAGCCAACATCTTTGCCTGATCCCTAGACTGTAAGGCAAGAAATCTGTGTTGTTTTAGCTCATGAAGAGAAAGTGTGGATCACTCCTTTTAAATTTCCATCCTTTACCTTTTTGTTTGGAAATATATTTGCATTGGCGGGAAAAACATAAATAAGACAAAAGTTATCCAGATTTGTCATTTTCTACCTTTTCCATTTTTAGGGAATTGTATTTGACAAATGGGAATTCTATAGATTTAAGGTGAGTGGTTTGATGTTATTATCTAAGTTTACAGTGTAAGATGAGGGCTTCCTAGCCAATTAGTATGGCCATTACCAGAGGTGCTTATCATGTTCTTGTCTCTTTAGCCATGATGTGAACTCATGATCTACCACTTTTCACAGTCTAGTATACAATACAGCACTCTGTTAAGTCACCACTGAAGACAGAACCCCAGAATCAGTTTATCCTACATGACAAAGCCTTGTACCTTTTCACCCACCCCTCCCTTCCTCTCCCACCACTAACTCCAGTGGCTGCCATTCTCCTCTCTGCTAACTCACTGTGTTTGTGATCATTTGTTACAGCAATGATAGAAAGCGAGGACAAATATTCTAAACTTTTGTCTCTGTGGTGGATACAGAATCAGCAGAGCCCAAGAGGCTTCTTGAGATATGGGAAGTCTTTTACACAATTTCCTGTGGTCCCAAGCCAGATTGGTTTTTGCTGAGATGGCACATCTCAGCTGTTTCATGTCATAGCCATTTTGAAGATTGTTCCAACCCCTAAGAATTCCAAGAACACTGACTTTTAAGATAGACCACCGTTAGTCTCTATGCTATAGGAGGCATCAAAATTTCGTCTTCTTGGAGGAATGAATGTAAAATACAGTTGCAGTAATATTAGCCAACATCTTAGACACAAAGTTAGAGCCATGTCCCCAGAGGGCTTGGAGGACCATGCCTGGACCTCACATGTCCAACCTGCTAACACAGCTCTGAGCTGCCCACCCCTGGCTTTTGCTTCCAACTCTCAATATTCCGTCTTGTCTTCTATCACCTCTTATTTCTAGTTTCTCTTGCAACTGAAACTCGATCCATATAAGTTATGACAGGAGAGTGCCCAAGGCAAATGAGAAGCCGTGAAGCAAATCCAATTCTTTTGACACACTGCTAGTTATTTCCCTGGGGCACAGATGCCTGCGGCAGCATGCGGATTTCAGTACTTGGTGCCCTGTCTGCTAGAGCGCTGGAGCTGTCTGCAGTGCTGACCTGGCCCTCCCACCTGCTTGTTGTATTCATTTCTCCTCTGGGTCTGGAAAGACTTTCATACGGTTGACTGTGATGTAGGTGCTGGCCTGTGAAGTAAATATTAGTGGGCTCATATTACACACTCTAAGATCTGTTCTTCCTGCTCAATACGTGTGTCACTGACTTCTGGAAGCCTCCTGTCTCCAGACCAGTAACTCTAGTCCATTTGCCACATTCAGGAACCAGTCCCTGCTCTCTGGCCACCTGCTGTCTATGAACCTCATGAGATATGATAACCACAGTGGAAGTGGCCTTAATAAATTATGTCTCATTGTGTATCTAGCCTTGTGTGATCCCTGATGATCTTGTTACTGCCCTTGGCCTCAGAAAAGGTGACTTATACCAGTGATTCTAACCAATGTGCTCCAGAGTCTCCCCATCCCCAGAATGTGAGCACTTCAAGGGAATGGGAATGGCACATGCTAGATTTCTTTTGGAAATACAAAAATGGTTCAAATACCCAGAAAGTTGAATTTATATATCACCATAAAAAGAAAAAAAAAACTATGATGGAGTTAAAACTAGAAACAAAATCAGCTTTATATCTTCTTTTCATGACTCATATGTCCTGTGACCTATATTCCATCCTTATTACCTAACATCACCCTCTCATTGTCTCCTTCCTAAATGTTAGACTGTAACCAAACTATTTAACACAGTTGGGTTTTCTTTTTATTCTATTGACCATTCTTGCAATAGATAGGAAGTAGGCTTGAGTAGAAACTGAAGACATTTGTCTTATTGACCCAATTAGAAAAGGTTCTGGTTTTAATGTTAAAAAAAAAAAGTAAAGTCTGGAGAGATGGCTCAGCAGTTAAGAGCACTGACTGCTCTTCCAGGGGACTTGGATTTGATTCACTGCACTTAAATAGTGGTTCACAACTGTAATTCGGGCTCCACGGTCTCCAACATCCTCCTCTGGTCTCTGTGGGCCACAAGAATGCTCATGGTACACAGACAAGCATGCAGGGAAATGCCTATATACATAAAAATGTAAAAAAATTAAAAATAATTAAATTAAAATATGAAGAAAATGTTAAGTGCCACTTGAGAAAGCTTAATCTGGATTCTCTGAGGAGGATAAAAGGCCACATAAAGAGAGGGTCTAGCTGTCTCAGCTGTCCCAACTGAGCCCAGGTCCACGGGTCCCTCCACCAGAATCCAGCTGTGTGCACAGGCCCAAGAGGAAGAACAGAACCACCCAGCTGATTCATGGAACCACAAGACAGGACAGGTCACCGATGTTTAAGATACTAACTTTATTTTCATTGTATTTATTGCATAATACATTACATAGATAATATAGAGCTAAATATATCTATTTTTATTATATTTAATCATTTATATGTAGTTTGGGAGTAATGCATCCAAAAGCATTGCCCAAAGAGGGCCAGAAGAGAGCATGAAATCCTAGGATCTGGGGTTGCAGATGGTTGTGCGCCACTTGACATGGGTGCTGGGAACCACTCCTGAGTCCGCTGAAAGAGCAGTACATTCTCTTAACTGCTGAGCTAATTCTCCAGTCTCTGATTAAACCATTAACTTTCATTTTATTTGTTAAGCAGAAATTAATAGTTAATAGGGCCCATTATTTCTTAGTTGGTGTTTCTACTAAATCTGCAAGTTCTCTTGACAATCAAGAACAGAATTAGCATTCTCTGGCTTGATGGATGATTCTTGTCTCCAGACCTGTACTAAGTGCCTTCTATATGTCTTTACTGGGTAATAGGAATATAAAACTGGATAAGAGCAAATTCTTTGGCAAGGGAAGCTAGCAGAGGACCTCAGGCATGGTTGGCCAGAGTCTTTAGGGAATAATCTGAGGACAACGGAAAAACAAGTCTAGATATGCCTACTGGTGCACCAGTGACACAAACACCATGTGAGCAACCGACCAATTGGAATTAAGCCCACTATACAAGATGAAACCCATACTGGCAGCATTATTAGGTCAAGAACCTAGAGCTACACAAGCCATCGACTCTAGGAGAGAGCCTATTACCGCTCTTCTGGTAAATGGACATAGTATTAAACCTAATGACTTATTATAGCCACAGATTAACACGACGATCAACTGTCAATCAAAGAAGTGTCTGTTTGCAGTAGAGTAATCACCACAGAGACCCACAACTAGCCCGAGTGCAGAGAGTAAGAGACCGAAGAATGCTCAGTCTTAAACGGAACATATATACCACACCCCTTTCCTCCAAAGGTTTAGAGATCACTGAAGGAGGAGGGGAAAGAGTATAAAAAGCAGAGGTAAAGGATGACTGTAAGGACACAGTTTCTACCGGGAAAAGTAAGA